GCACGTTTCGCACGAGTGTGTACGTTGGATAAAAGACTATTTGTGGGTTTTCACAAATGTATGCATGTGTATATTGGTCTTTATGTATCTGGGGTTTGATTATCAACGGGAACTTGAAAAATAATAAAAATAAAAAAGTAGTGGGGGATCTAAAGACAAATGATGAGCGAGGGAGCGGGACCAATCCAAAATGCCTGTGATTCCGGTTTTAACGGAATTATTATTATTATTGCTTTGGATTCTGTCTTTTTTTTTTTTTTTTTTGTATTTTTTTTCTTTTATAAAATCATTGTTTTTTCTCGTTGTTATTGTTGCAATTTAGTGCAACGTTAGGAATAATGATGACGACGTGCGAAAATGTACGCGGCGTTTTGCAAAATTGTGGCGACGCTGCGCCTTTGCCGTCGGAGTCATTGTCCACCAACGCCGTGAATCGTAGCCTCTCGGATCTTCATACACCCACTTGGTTTGTACTCCTTGGCTTGAGCTCTGGACTGCGGACGCTGCTGTTACATCCGCTGAACCTTGCCATATCTCGCAAACGCATGATGGCAGAGAGTAGGCCTCCACCGGTGATGCAAATATTGTCTCAGGCATACCGGGGCGAGGCCAAGACAGGTCCTCTCAATCCTACAAAAGGGGTGAGGGCCATTTATCGGGGATTTGGTGTTGCATTGATTGGAAATCTTCTTGGCGAGGTAACTTACCTTCACACGCTTGAATTGGTGCGGGAAGAACTGGAGAGCAAACCTTCGGCTCTGCAAAGGGCTTCTTCCTCGCAGGGACTCGATTTCAACGCGAGCAGTCACGCTGCGGCCGCGGGTGGCTTGGCGGGTGGTTTGATCTCCCTTCTTATTACCACACCAATGTCTGTCGTGTGCAATAGACAGTTAACGGCTGGTTATGGCATGGCTTCTGGATATACTTATTGTTCTGCGTGGGCAACGGGGCGGGAAGTCAGCGGTTTGTATCGGAAAACAAATGAGTCCTTCCTTCGTAGGGGAAAATATGCACTTCGTGGGTTCTACGCTGGGCTTCTGCCGGGTATCGCAGCACTTCCTGAGAATGCGGTGTGGTGGGCTTTGTATAGCAAGACGAAGGTCGTTCTATACACTTTATTTGAACCAACCTTGTCGCGCTGGGAACGCGAAAGGGATGCTAATGATTCTCTTCGACCATTTTGGCGACAAAACTGGTTGTTGTCTCCTACAGACAACCCCGCATTGAACGCCGCGGCAGGCATGCTTGCTAGTTTCATGACGACGGTAGTTTTTAATCCACTTGACGTCCTTCACACACGGCTGCAGGTCCTACCACTGGAGAGGCACGGCAAGGCAAAAGGCGTGCCGCTTGCACGTGTCTATAACCTCGTGGACAGTCTCATTCGGAAAGAGGGCTGGCGAGGGTTTTTCAAGGGAGCATCAGCAACTGTGAGTGTTTCTGTTTTGGATGGTGTGTTTTTTTCACTTTTTTTTGAACTCACAAAGCTTGGTAGCGATCGAGAGTTTTTGCGTCAATTTTAAAGGAGGGTGTGGGTGGGTGGAGGGGGGAGAAACAAGAGGTCATCTTCACGGTTTTCTGCAATACCAAGTGGATGAGCCGAAACTGTTTCTCATTGGTATTTTTCCCTTACAGCAGGGAAAGGAAATACGGCAGGACGTACTGGATGCCATTCACACGAAGAGAAGGAAGCAAAAATGGAAATACAAATTAAAAAACTGTTTACCGCTTTTCATAATGCGTGGCTCTTGTTTATTTTGCCACAACCCTCTTCCAATGCATATAAAGGAAGGAAATACGAGGAGGAGAGGGGTGGGGGAAATGTGTGGGAACACACTACTTGTGGAGTTCTGCTTGCTCCCACTCTTTATCGAGCCAATAAATTAGCCGAAAACAACAAACAAACAAACAACAACAAAAAAGAAACAGAAACAGAAAACAGAAACACTTATTGTAGCGGGAGAAATGGTATTTTTGTACATATTGGTTCATTGTGTATGGTATCCGCTCCCAGCAATTATTGCCAATGTGACATGAGCCGTGTTTTTTTTCTTTTCTTTTCTTTTTTTTCTTTTTCACTTTTGTGTGATTTTGGCGTTTATGGTGTTTTTTTTTTTTTTTTGCGTCATTTTCTTTTTCTTTTCTTTTTTGGTGTAGAAGAGCAACAGGGACATTCACACGCGCGTAGAGAGCGAGAGAGAAGGAGAGAGAGGAGTTGTGGTGGGAGGGATACGGAGATGGCGGCGACTGGTGGCGGTGACATTGAGGAGCTTGTCAAGCAGATCACGGACCATCCCGGTGTGCAGGGGCTGATCATCGTGAACACGGAGGGCATTCCGATCCGCCACACATTCCAGGAGCAATCACGGCCTCTCGCGGTGCAATACTGTGCGCTATTTCAGAGTCTGGCGATGAAGGCCCGAACGGCCGTGGTCGAGCTGGACAACAATAACGACCTTCTCTTCCTCCGTGTGCGGTCAAAGAAGCACGAGGTGCTTGTGGCTCCCGACACGAAGTACCTGCTAATCGTCATTCAACGGGTAGGGAATGACGACAACTTGCCGGTCAACATAAAAAAGACGCCGTAAAAATGCGGGTGGAAAAAAAGAGAACCGCTTGAGTGAGAGAAGGAAACTGAGCATGAGATGGAAAGAGGCACTCGGGAAGGGCGGAAACGTCGTGAAGTCATGTTTTATTATTATCTCCATTGCTCCTTTCTTTTTTTTGACTGTGTGTGTGTGTGTGTGCCCCGGCTTTTTTTGTTGTTTTTGGTGGTGGTGTTTTCCTTTTTTTTTTTTTTTTGCTCTTTTTTCTTCTTCTTTCCTCCTCATGGTTCCGTATGTAATTATAGGCGTGGTGTTTGACCCGTGCATTTATCATCCCTACACACACTCACTCACCCGCAAAATAATTAAAAAAACAAAATAAAACCTTCTCTTTCCCCTCCCCTTTTCTTTCAGTTTTATGTCTTTTATCCACACTTGAAATGAGGGAATATTTTGTATTTCTTTATCTTATTCCTTTTCTCTTTTTTACTTCCCTCTCACCGTACATGCATACGTGTGCCTTAATGGATATTGTCCGCTCTGTCTATGCTATGGAGAAGGTGTCGCCAGCGTTCGTGGTTCAATACTCCGTTTTGTGAGTGGTGGTTTTATTGCACGCGGCAACAAAAGGAGGTAAGACGCACATGGAGGTTGATGGTGATCATGACGTGATTGCGGCAGCTAAACAAAAATTGAACTTGCTGGGTTGTCTCACGAAAGCCATCGAGGCGGAGTGGCAACGTAAAGAGGCTCTCCTGCAACAGCTACAGACTCAATTAAATGAGGAACAAAGAGAAAAGGAATCTGTGTGGCACCGCACACGCAATATCGGTGCAGATACTGTGGCCACATTGAATGAACTGCGTGCTCTAGAAGAACTTGATATGCTAGACAGTATGCTGGTAGAGAAAAACACGCAATTGCGCTTGCAGCAGCAAAGGCACGACATGCTACTTCAACAGTTAGCCAACATGGAGGCGGTTTTGGACGGGGTGGGGAGCAGCGAGGATTTTGACCTTAAAAAATGGGCTTCTTGTTGTGAACGTATGCATCGATACATCGATGCGACAGATCGATATTGTACTCGTCATACACGTCACGTTGTAATTCATCCCGTTTCGGTCATTCATCAGAGCATTCGCAAGATGTCTCGGACGGCACGAGAGCGTGATGAAAGACTTGTCATTCAACTGGAGTGTTTAGAAAAACAAATACAGCACGCATCATCATTGGACAGCACTCTTCAGAGCAAGGAAGCTAAATATAGATGCAAGTGGGAGGAGTTGAGGCGCGGCAATCGGGACCGGATGCGGAAAATAAAGAATGCAGGGGAAGTGGAGACGATGAAATTGCGTGAGAGTCTTCAAGAGGTGAAAAAAGAACACAGTCATCTTTTGTGCCGTTTGAAGGAGGAAGTGGTTGCCCCAGTGGAAGCTGACTTGCTGTCGCCGCCCCCAGTATTGGAAAATGCACATGAAATCTCCGCATCGTTGCATGAACCGCGTGGGGAGGGCCCAGACAAAAGCACGGATGTTAACTCTGAATTTATTGATAATACACTGTTGAGGTCGGTGCCGATACTCCGACGCTCCCACCTCACTAGCAGGGGGTGGCTAACGAGTGCGAGTGCTGCTACGGCTACAAGCGACAGAGACATTGACGATGACGACACGAATGACACCGGGAATGATGGTGTCGCTGTTGGGGTGCCAGATGCTCCCGTTAACGTTGCACCCTTTTCCCAGAGTGCAATGGGGTTGTCCCTCCATCGTGCGGCGAGCCCCGCACCACCGGGCGAGATGAACTCGGAGGTGGAGGAGCTTCGGTGCCAGGTCATCGCAGCGGAGAGAGATGTCGACCGGTTGCAGCAACGGTACGAAACATTGAGGGAAGAGGCCGAAAGAACACTACTCGAGTGTGTAAAAAAGGAAAGGGCCCTGGAGGAAAAGCTTTGCAAGTCGCGAGAGGCGGTATCTGTTCTTGAGAAGGAAAAGTCTGGGTGGCAGGCACTTCATGAGCAGATGTCACTTTTACTTTCTTAGGAAAGAATAGACGTAGAGCTACATAAAAATAACGCAACAACGAGGCAGTGAAAGAGTAAAAAAAAAAAACAGAAACATATCTGCATCTCCTTCTTTGTATTGAAGCCTGAGAATGAACGCAAATTGGCTCGGCTTTCGATTTTCATGCGCTCCTGAGTGAGTTGGCTGTACGTACTTTTTTAATTAGTTTTTTGTTGCTATTGTTGTTCTGCGAGGGAGTGGAGTGGGGGATTTTTTCCCATTTTTGTCTTTCTGGTTTTCTTAAATTTTTTTTCTTTTCCAAGCATATTTGTTTCTGTTGCACCGCGATTGTAGGGTTTGCACCGAATTCGGCTCGGTGTGTTTAGAAGAGACGAGTTGCGACTCTGCACGAACTTATAGAACCACAACAAAGGTGAAAATACCGCCGTTGATGTTAGCGAGTGAGCACAGAGCCTCGGAACTTCCAGCGGATTTCTTGGAAGCTTTCCCCACGATGGTACGTGACGTCAGTCTCCGCGGCGACATACGTCTTCCGCCCATCACGCCGCAGCAGCAAGGTGCGCTTTTCGCTCTGGCGGCCAAATATGGCTCTGCATGCAGTCTTGTCATGGATGGCGAGGGGAGGTTTCATTTGCGAAACGGCTCTTCCAGTCCTCATTTGCAAGAAAAGCTGGCTGAAGAGCTGCGTTATCTGCATGATGAAGGGGAAAAGTACCCTGAGGAAGATCCTCTTGTGTTGCACTGGGCATTTACGGACCGCAATGTACATCGAGAGGTGGTGACAATGTTACAGCTTCTAGCTTACGATATGGGCATATTCCTTGGCGAGCAGCTCTTTGACGGGGTTTATATTTACCGCGTGGAGGTTGCACTTCGGTATCTTCCGCAGTGGGAGGCGGAGCGGCGCAAACTCATAGATTCATCTCTTCAGGGGGAAGCAGATCCCTTTCCAATCCCTGTCTTGGCGATGAAGGATGCAGGTATAATGGATGCATACAGGAAATTTATTCGACCGTTTTTGTATGAATGGGATTTCGCTACCACACGATGCGAGGTAAACCTCTATCGGGAACCCACGGGACAAATACCAAAGGAAGCACGGTCTTTAGGCTCTCTATTTTCTTTGCGGCATGAAGTTAATTCGTCAGGAAAGATCTTTTTCAGACGTTGGACACGGCATCTTTTGCATGTTTTTTCCAAGTATGCGGAGGAGCTCAGGCGGCAAGATAGCAAAGGGATCAAGAAGACACTCTCAAAATACGGTGGGGATCTCGATCCTGTCGACACGGAGAACATTACCCCGCATTTCGGTCATTTTAACTGCTGCCTCGAGGAGCGTTATTACAAGAAGGATCTGGCAGAATTGGAGGAGTTTGCCTGCCGCAGTGGTTACTTTGTGCATGTGTCGATAGAGGGCGATCTTGCGATTGTGCTGGCGACCGCGCGAATGAGGCCGGCGCTGGCGCAGAGGTATACTTTGGTTTTTCCGAAAGAGACGGAACATCCGCGGCGGCCACGTGAGTCTGAGGCACAGTTGCATGGAAGAGTTGGACTTTTAGACACCGTAATTCGTCAGCGCTTACTTTTGGGGAAGGAAGAGAATGATAGTCTCTACCACAAACGTAATGATAAAAAGGTATCACGCATGGATCTAATAAATGCCAGCGCAAACACCAGTAGCAACAGCGGCAGTAGCAGTAGTAGTAAAAGCAGCAGCAGAAGCAGCAGCAGCAGCAGCAGCAACATTAAAAGAAGAAGCACTGATAATGGTAAAAAACGTGTTCGAGGAAGAATTGTAGGCATTGAGGAGAGCCGTTGGGGCAAAGAAGGCGCGGATAGTGCATTGGAGGATGAAAATAAACCTTCCACACCCAAGAAGGCACTTCCTGCTTTGAATTTGCTTGTGGGGAATGAAATGGGTGCCTATAGGCGCTTTTCTCTCGCAGAAAGCAACCTTTACGATACGATTGTGGGGAAAATGCAACGCAAGTTACCACCTGGATGGAGTGTGCGCCGGGACTCTGCGGGAAAGCGTTACATTCTTGATCATCTTCGGGGCAGGGCGCATCATGGTGACTCGTCTGTGATCTCCATGGAGTTTGCAGCAGGGCAACGGGAGATATACAATGTTGTGGATTTGATGATGTGAGGTGCTCTGGTCACTTAGCTAATTTTCTTGATTCGAGAGTAATGGCGATTGCTTGGGGTGGGAACGCAGTTGACGCGATGTATAATTTCACCAGTCGGCACCAGACACACATATGATGAAATTGATGGCATTTGCCGGTACGCGAGGGGGGGGGGGGGGGG